CGCCCGCGGAGGGTGAGGCCTGGGGCTGCCGCCCGCCCTGCTGTGCTCCTTTGTTCTCTCCGCGTCTACCGCCCCAGCCACTTTCTCTAACTGGGGGGTCAGCTGCAAAATTCTCCGTTCAGAGGCGGGATGTGGTCCAGTTGCAGAGCGCTCGCCTAGCAGCGCGAGGCCCTGGGTTGCACGCGCGCGCACACGCATGCACACACGCGCACAGCACACTCAAGCAGTTACCCCTACCTCCGCTCTCCATGGTGCTCTGAGGGGGGCGAATCCAACAGAAAACTGGAACTTGTAGCCAGTTTTGCAACGGTTTAGAAAAGAGAGGCCGAGAAAACCTCGAGAAAGCCTCGCGGAGCTGCTCCTCTCTGTGGGAGAAGAGCACAGAGCCCGTGAAATCTCAGATCCTCCTCCCCGAAAGCGCGCATACGCGTGGACAAGGGCGTCCGATTCATGGGTTCAGACCGCTCCAGAGCCCGTCGCCGCGGTCCAGGCCTGGTTGCTTCTCTCCTCTGCCAGGCCGTGGAGGCTGAGGCCCGATTTCTCTGGCTGTGGAAACCAAGCTAATCTCCAGAGAAAAGGCATCCCATTTCCATGGCTCTAAATCAAGGATGAGAGTTTAGGCCAAGGAAATCGCACCCAGAATTTTAGCTAAAGTTCTTATTTTGTGAAGTGCTCATTCTAGTATGGTTCTAGACGTTCAAGCCCCTATTCCTGACAACCAAACGTTTGCAGAAACAGCTGGGAGAAGAAAAATAGAACGAGTCCGGGTTTCAGTTCCATAGCAGTTCAGCATCGCCGAGCCCCCACTCCGCACCGGGCAACAGCGATTGATCATGCAGTCCCCACCCTGGACAAGCTTGCACTTTTCTTCTTTGCATCTCTGCTCACGCACTTGAGGCTGTGGTCTTGCTGACTCACAAACTTTTAGTTGCCTTTCTATCCAAGAGTAACGACACCCTCTCCCCTGGGGCCAGTTGTGACATTTGAGTTTTCCCAGGGCTCAAGGCTCCCTGCATCCAGTGTTGGCTTCTGGTGTTCTGGAGTGTGTCTTCCACAGTGAGCATCTTCTGCCTAAATTTTCAGGGTCAAAGGACAGGCCGAGCTACACAGCCCCTCCCAGACTCAAGGCGCACGTGACGAATGGAAAACCAAGAGGTGAAACAGCCTGTGAACCCAGCGAACTGTGAGTTCTCATCACTTGTCCCAAGCTGTTACAAGACATCGCAGAGGGAGTAAGTGAATGCTGGTGATTTCCAGCACAGTCAGAGAGGAAAATCTCTGTCTGCCACAACTCCACTTCAGTGCTTAAAATGGAAAATAGCCGGGTGTGGTGGAGCGCGCCTGTCATCCCAGCACTCAGGAGGCTGAGGCAGGAGGATCCCTGTGAGTTCGAGACCAGCCTGGGCTACAAAGTGAGCTCAAGGCCAGCCTGAACTGTATAGTGAGATCCTGTCTCAAAAAGACCAAAGAATAAAGTGGAAAACAACATCCTTCTGTCCTCTGAAGAAAGGAAAATAAAAGTCCTTTCCTGGACTTACACAATTGCCCTTCCCCAGGAGGAGGAGTTGAGGGAGGGGAGATGAATGGGGACAAAAAAGAATCAGGTTTCATCGTGCACAGGTACAAATCTGCTGTGATGAACGTGATCATTGTGTATATCTAAAATGTACCAAGAAGATCTGATGTTAAAAAAAAAGGATCCCCCCTCCCTTTGTATTTTTATTCCCTAGACCGTAATTCATTTATATCTCCATTTGTCATTTGAAGGCTATATTTTGTAGGATTATCCTCTCCACATGCAGAGATTACTGACTCCTCTAACTTATACATGTGATAGTCCAATTCCAAACCCCTGTGAGCAGTTTCTAGTTCCTTTCGTGTTTCATGTTTATAACTTAACAGTGTACTTTCTTCCAGCAAAGTCATAATTACGGCTAAACCCGCTGGTCTCTGTGTGCCTCGCAGTACCCACATTACGGCCAACAGCGCTGTGCCAGTGGAAGGATCACCGGCATCTCCTGAGAAAATGTGGTCCAGAGATGACCGTTCTGAGCAGAGACCCTCACTGGAGTGTGCTCAGAGGGCTGCAGGACTTCGGTAAGCGCGCGGCAGTCCAGCCCTCAAACCGGAACGAGCTAGAACAAGCAGAGGTTCTTGCAGGCACTGGAGTGTTTGCAATCCCAGCGGTCAGAGGGTGAGGCGGGAGGATGGACAGCTGGAGGCCGGCCTGGACTACACGGCAAGACCCCGCCTCAAACGGGAGGGAGACACAGAGAGAGAGACAGAGACAGAGGGAGAGAGAGACAGAGACAGAGACAGAGACAGAGGCAGAGAGATAGAGACAGAGACACAGAGACAGACAGATAGAGACAGAGAGACACAGAGAGACACAGACAGAGACAGAGATAGAGATAGAGACACAGACAGAGACATACAGAGAGATAGAGACACAGAGACACAGAGACAGACAGAGACAGAGAGACACAGAGAGACAGACAGAGATAGAGACAGAGACACAGAGAGATTGAGATGAGTTTATCTGTGCCTTTCTTCCATTTTAGAGGAAAAGAGAATGTTTAGGACTAAATTTAATCTGAGCAGTAGAACTGGAATCCTTAGTAAGTTAAAAAATAAATTAACTGGGTAATAGATTTGCTGCTTTACTTTATAGAAAGAAAATTATCTCATCCTCATCACCAGATAGGTGAATACCTTTTTGTGCATTGGTCCTTGGTGGACTTTTTTTCAGTAGTTTATTTCTTAGAGTAGTTTTAGTTTCACAGCAAAACTGAGCAGGAAGTTGAGCTCCCAAGCAGCACCATCTCCACTCGCGTCCCGCCCTCTGCTGGGTGGTGGGACAGTGAACCTGCGCTGCCCCTCAGTACGGCTCAGAGCCCGGGGTCTGCATCAGGTGTTCCGCTTGTATGAGTATGGGCAAATGTATAATAATGTGCATTCACCATACGGGATCCTATAAAGTACATTTATTACCCTGAAAATCCTCTGTGCCTCAGCTATTCATGTTTCTGTCTTTTAACCCCCGACAACCACTGATCCCGTTGCTGTCTCCATGTTTTGCCTCTTTCCAGAATATACTTGGAACCCCAGGCAGCCTTGAAGGTTAGCGTCTTTCACTTAGTGATATGCTTAGGGATCCTCGCAGGTCTTTTCACAGCGTGGTAGCCCTTCTTAAGGTGCTAAGTAATATTGCACTGTCTGGATGTACAATAGCTTATGCATCTGTGCGCCTATTGAAGGTATTCTCGGTCGCTTCCAAGGTTGGGCAGTTGTGAGTAAAGCTACTGCAACACTGTTTGTGGGCTTCTGTGTAGAGATAAGTTTGAAGCCTTTTCAAACTGCAGACCCACCTAAAAAAAAAAAAAACAACAAACCACAGACCCCTGGGCCGCCCCCCTCAAATGTGATTTTTTAATTATTTGAGGGTAGAATCGAGGCAGTTCAATTTTAAAGACTTGCTGGGCGTGGAGGTGCACACCTGTAACCCCAGCACTCAGGGCCATCCTGGGCTACACAGGGAGACACTGTCTCAAAAAAAGAAATCTTTTGAAAGACTTCTCCAAGTGACCCCAAAGAGCAAAAGTCACTGAGACAGAGTCAGGAGCACAGGGCCTTCCTAATGTCTTTCAAATGATAAAGCAAACAGGATCTCCTGGGTTCAGAAAGAAGACTCTTCCTTTGTGTCTATCTTCAAACCTCCCCGCTTTGTTTCCTTTTTTTTTTTTTTTTTTAAAGAAACAGGCTTAAACTTTCTGAATTTTGCATCATTTATAAGAAAATGCACACAATTTAAAAATATAGTTATGTCTTCTCCAGAATACAGAGTTTAAGGTTAGTGGTCTATCAGCTCCCAACTGGTGTGAGAAGAAAAAAAGAGAAGCGATTATTTCCCCGGCTGTGCTCCTCCCTCTGGCGCGCTGTGGGGGCGAACTGGAGGCCAGACGCAAGAGCGGGATGCTCTCAGTGCATGGCCAGCAGCAAGCAAATGCAACTGGTCACGGGGTGATCATTGGCAATTTGTTTCTTTTAAAAAAAAAAAAAAGTGGGCTGGGGATTTAGCTCAGTGGCACAGCACCTGCCTGGCAAGCACAAGGTCATGAGTTCGATCCCCGGTACCGGAAAAAAAAACCAACAAGTAAAAAATAAAAAAAAAAATTTTTTTTAAAGTATTAGCTGGGTGTGGTGGTGCATACCCATAATCCTAGCACTCCAGAGGCTGAGGGAAGAAGATCACCATGAGTTTGAGGCCGGCCTGGGCTGCATAGTGAGTTCAGGGCCAGCCTGAGCTGCAAAGCGAGACCCTGTCTGAGAGAGAGGTGCGGGGAGAGAGAGAGAGAGAGAGAGAGAGAGAGAGAAAATGTGCTAGCTTAACTCCGTCCTCCCTCAGAACACTGTAGTTCTTTCTGCAGAGCTTCCATTAGGGAGAATGTGGAACTGATCCGGCTGAAGAAGCTCCTACATGAACGCGATACCTCCCTGGCAGCCACGAAAGCACAGTTAACAGAAGTTCAAGAGGTGAGCGGCCGTCATCAGTACTGCTTCCCTGGGACAGAGTCGACTGGTTAAGAAGTTTGTGTTACTTTCTTCCCTTGCATAGGGGATACCACACTTTGGAGGGACTGAGTTGCTTGGCTGAGGTCACCCAGCTCAGGTGATTCGCAAATCCAAGGCTTGCAGTTCAGAGCCCATTCTTTTCCTGGTATGTCCCCATTTTCTCTGTTAGGAAGAGGCTCCACCAGCCTGCTAAGGTGGAAGTAAGAGGAGTTAGTTAGGGTCCCAGCCAAGGACCGTGCTCAAGGTCAGTCAGTCGGGAGCCAGGCGCAGTCAGGGCAGGAAGGAAATGGGCGTCCCCGGGGCACATCCTCCTGCTGGATGGACCCCGTCCCAGCTGAGTCATGATCTCATTTAACACAGCCAGTGACCCACGAGGTAAGTACATCTAGTGGAGAACTAGAGAGGAATGAAGGGCAACTCCGGATGCCCCCGGGGTGAGCAGATGGAGGTGCCGCGGTTCACTGACGCTGGGTCAGCTCCAGGTGGCCCTGCCCAGACACCTCTGCTCTGATGGGCCCGTCTCCAAGCCTGTGTTCCGTGGAGAACTATATATGCGCTTGTATGCTTCTAATCTGGTTAATTTTGGCAGCATTTAGAGGATGTAGAAATATGAGAAAGAAGACAGTTTAAAGTTATATTGGTAAATGGCTATTTTTATAAAATTGGACGTTTTAAACAAATCCATCTCGTTGGGTTTGGTAGCGCACACCTGTGATCCAACATTCAGGTCACTGAGGCCGGAGGATCGCCACAAGTTCGAGGCCAGCCTGGGATGCGTAGTGAGCTCAGGGCCAGCCTGAACTATACAGCCAGAGCCTGTCTCAAAGACAAGAAACAAAAATGAACAATTAAAACAATTAAAAATCCATCTGTGTTCCTTCGTGTTATTGAAGGGGGAAAAAGAGGGGTCAGGGCGTAGCTCAGCGATACTGTGCTTATGTATAGGCCAATGGCCCTGAGTTCTGTCCCCAGCCCCCACACACAAAAAAGAAGACAGCCATTCTAGATTAAATTGTCTTACCCCTGTGTGTGGTAGAGATGACTTGAAATGGTGAATAATCATCTACAGTTTTTTTAAATGTTGGTTTTATGATTTATTTTCCTTTATCAGGTTACCTTTCTAGTTATGCTTTCTAACATCAAACGGAAATCAGTTTGCGTGCTCTTAACCCCTTCTCCGTGAAGTTCAGTGACTGGCTCTGGAGGCTGACAGACTGGGTTCAAGTTCTGCCTCTGCCTTTGGTAGCTATTTTATGACTTCTCTCTCTGTGTGTCTCTCTGTGTCTCTCTCTCTCTCTGTGTCTGTATCTCTCTCTGTCTCCATCTGTCCCTCCCTCCCTCCCTCCCTGTCTCTCCAGAGTCTCGCTGTGCAGCCAGGGTGCATTTAAACGCACTGTATATTCCAGATTGGCCTTCAACTCACAGCCTCCTACCTCAGCCGCCTAAGTGCTGGGATTGCAAGTGTGTGCCGCTACCTCCCCCTGTATAATGTTTTTAATATAAACATTTGTATTACAGAGAGAAATACCAAACATATAATGAAATTTGTGGATCAGTAAAATAACACATACTCTTTTCTTCTAGGCGTATGAAAACTTGCTCCAGAAGGTACTTAAAGGGGATTTTAGTCTGCTTTTTAGTCTTCAGCCACCCTACCCTGGACACACCCGGTTTTGTCTGAATCTGCTTTTGAGTGATTAGAGTAATCAAACCCATATCCATATTCATCTCTAGCAACAGACCAGAATTAGCCATCTCTGTCCCAGTTATCCTGTCAGAGAGTTTATACTAAGGTATCGACACTATTACTACTACAAACAACACTTATTGCATTGTTTTCATTAAAATTGAAACATGAGATCTGAACTGAGAAACATTTGGAATGCTATTTTTTTAGCCTATTGCTACAGTGACTTACAGCATTTGCTCAAAAGTTTCTAAAAGGATTATTTTAATGTGTGAGGTGGTGAGCTATAACAGATTTGTTGCAGACCTTCTCCCATATTATTAGATATTTGGGCCCCATTCACTGCTGTGATTCGGGTGCAGGAGAAGCCATGGGAATGTCCGTGGTCCCAAGTCACTAAGTCAGAGTTCCACGTGTGACGAACCAAGCTGTGCCTCACTAGGGAGTCCACCGGAAAAACTGTAGCAGCTAGCTGGGCGTGGCAGTGCCCAGCTACAATCCTAGCACTTTGGAGGTTGAGGCAAGAGGATCACTGTAAATTTGAGGCCAGCCTGGGCTAGGTAATGAGTTCAAGGCCAGCCAGGACTACATAGCATGACCCTGTATTAAAAAAACCAACCAACTAACCAATTAACCAACCAATCAACCAACCAACAAACAAACACACCTTCTGGAGCTAGAAAAGCTTCTAAAGCACACAATTTCTAGAGCTAATATTTCATTGGAAAGAAACCTATCATCATGCCAGGTATGGCAGCACATACCTGCAATCCCAGAACTCAGGAAGCTGAGGCAGGAGGATTACTGTGAGTTTGAGGCCAGCCTGGGCTATATAGTGAGTTCAAAGAAGGACAGCCTAGGTTACATAGTAAGACCCTGTCTCAAAAAAAGAAAAAAAAAATCATCATTATCAAAAATACCTTTCCACAGTCTGGACCTTGGGACATGTGCAAAGCCCTGGGTTTGAACCTTAGCAACACAAAATGAATTTGGACCTTAGGAAATTTAAGGCTCTCCTGATACACTGATACACTGCATCGCCCAGAATAGAAAATCCTCCCTGATAGGGAAACTGTTCTTCTGGAGAACAGTAAGGTGAAAAATAGCTCAGCGCACAGTGCCTGGGGGCCCGGCGGCTGTTACCGAAGCCCGCTCCCGCTGAGCGCTGTGAATTCCCAGCAGTTTCCTTTGGCCCAGAATCAGGGACTCTTGAGTGCAGCCCACAGTGCCCTCTTCAGCCAAGTGGACGAGCTGAGGGCAGAGTTCAAGGAGGAGAGCAGGAGGACTGCGAGCCTGAGGAGCCAGCTGGAAGATGTGTCCATCCTGCAGCGGACGCTCACGGAGGTCAGTGCTGTGGAGCAGGGCGGCCACCAAGGTGCCGCGCTCGCGTCTCAGGCCGTGAGACGCGCCGCCTAGGAGCAGTGTGGGCTTTCATTTTATCAAGTGAGAGCAACACAGCTGCAACTGGTTAAGTCATTTGCTCAAGATTAGGGCTGGGGATGGAGCTCAGCGGCACAGCACCTTGCAAGGTCCTGAGTTCGATTCCTGATACCAAAAAAAAAGATTATTGCACTGTTACAGGGAAATCCGGGGCTCAGAGCTGGATGTGTTCTCTAAAACCCTGCTCTTTCATAACATTCTGCTGCTGCTTCCCTAACAGTAGGAAGGCTGATGGAATAAAAACTTACTTCAATTCTGGAAAACTAGACATGTCTGTAAAAAATAAAATATTATTGTTCTGTAGGAAAAAAATACTTGAGAGAATTTTCTTTCACTCCAGTAAAAGTTTCTAGCCCGCTTTCAGCTGGTTCAGGTTTTCCCAGTTGGGTGGTTTCTCACAGACACCATAGGAAACAAGCACAGGAAAGCTCTCGCCAAGCCGCAAGCTTCGGGGGAAAGGGAAAATCTGTGCAGAGCAGCTCATTTTTAAAGTTTTACCTCAAAAACTGTACTGTCACTCTTAGTTTCAGGAAAGAGTTGAAGATTTGGAAAAAGAACGAAAATTGCTGACTGACAACTATGACAGACTCTTGGAGGAGTGAGTACCCTGTTTGGTCCCGGAGTGCGGCTGGCTGTAAGGGAAAGTTAGAGAAATCCCTTCCCAGCGGTACACGTAACACCGAGCTTTGACAGATGCCCTGGGAAACGGGTATTCAGTGCTGTTGGTGAGAATATGAGCTGCCACAGGCTTTTTGGAAGAGAACAGGACGCTATTACAGTGTTAAATGTACGTGTCTGTTTGTAACCAGCAAGTCCACCTTTTGGGAATCAAAACTAATGCAGTCCTCTTGTGTGTCTGCAGAGATATCTACACAGTAAGGCTGGCGGAGGAGGGGAGGGGAGGGGAAGTAAAAGGAATTGAGGTGTGTTATGTGCACACGCCAACTCCCATGGGGAGCGTGATCGTTATGTGCTGCAAACGTGTGCTGATAAAAGTACAAATTAAAACAAATACGAAGGTTACTACATTGTCAGAAGTAGTGAAACCTGGAAAGCGGCCCAAACTCCACTGACGGGATCAGCTAAACAATCCGGCTGCATCCTCAGAAGGAAGTCTCTTGCAGCCATTAGAAATGAGATAGACACAGTATACTGCTGACAAAAGTGCACGGGTGTGTTAACTCCGTTATATGTGTTTGCGGATGGACAGATGCTTAGTGAGATGTGACATTACAGTAAAACAGAAGAGCACTTTCATTTCTACACACTTCTGCATTATTTAAATTTTCAGCGGGGTGTGGCGGTGCACACCTGCAATCCCAGCACTGGGAGGCTTGCATTGAGTTCAAGGACAGCCTGGGCTATCTAGTGAGTTTCAGGACACCCAGGACTGTGTGGCGAGAACCTGTCTCAAAAAATTTTTTTTTCACAATGAACATAATATTCACGTATTAATTTTGTACTTAAAGATACCTAAATGCTTCTTAAAAATTGAAAATGCCTTTGGACCTACTCAGAGATAGCAAGGAACAGATTGGTAAAGACAATAAGGGAGGTCTTGTAAGAATATTCTGGAAAGAACTGATATTCAGCGTAGTAAAATGAAGGAGCGTGGGAGTACCCACTGTGGCATGGATTCCTATTGGCCTCTTTCCTTCATCACTCAAAATTTTTTTTGGCGGCGGGGGTGGGGGGTGGTCTCACTATGCAGTTCTTTTTTTTCCTTTGGTACCGGGGATCGAACTTAGGACCTTGTACTTGCCAGGCAGGTGCTTGCACCACTGAACTATCTCCCCAGCCTTCACTATGCAGTTCAGACTGGACTTGAGCTCATTTTGTAGCCCAGGCTGGCCTCAAACTCGCAACAATCTTCCTGCCTCAGCCTCCCAAGTGCTGGGATTACAGGTGTGTGCCACCGTGCCTGGTTCATCACCAAGAATATTGTTCTCTTGGGTCATCACATTATATATACACATGAAGAAATCTCAATACTAGCCTAGGCAAGTTATTTTTAGATGATATTTATTAAACTGATAAATAGGAAAAATATACAAATAGAAACAGCTGTTTGATATCAGTGTCATTTCACTTGTGTAAATGACCAAGAACTTAACCATATGTGTGTGTTTTTAAGCTGGTGTCTGATTTATTTCATGTACAATTATGTTCTCAAGGTAACCCATTTCCCTACATATGACTCAAGTTTATCATTTTTATGGCAGAGTATTACTCCATTGTGTACAAAAACCACATCTCCTTTATCCACTCATCTGATGCTGGCCATTTGGGCTGTTTCCAAGATTTAGCTGTTGTAAATTGTGCTGCTGTGAGCATGGGTGTATCACCATGTGTATGATACTTTTAAATCTTTTGGGAAGATGCCTAGAAGAGAATAGGTGGATCAAATGGAACTTTTAGTTTTAATTTTTTGAGGAATCTCCATACTGATTTCTGTAGTGGTTGCACCAGTCTACTCTCCCACCAGCATTGGAGAAGAGTTCCTTTTTCCCCACAGCCTCTCCAGCATTTGTTATTGGTTGATTTCTTGATGACAGCTATTCTTTCTGGAGTGAATCTCAGTGTTGTTTTAATTTGCATTTCTCGAATGACTGGTAATGTTGAAGGTTTTTATATATATTTATTTGCTGTTTGTACTTCTTCCTCTGAGAAATGTCTGTTCATTTCAGATGCCCATTTTTGTATTGGGTCTTTAAATTTGAGGGGCCTGATTTTTTTGAGTTTCTATATAGTCTAGATATTAGTGCTTTGAGGAATAGCTTGCAAAGTTTTTTTCTTATTCTTTGGGTTGTCTCTTCACTCTGTTGTGGTTTCTTTTGCTATGCAACAGCTTTTTAATTTGATGTGATCTTAGTTGTTGAGTATTTGTGATATTTCCTGTGCAACAGGAGTTTTGTTCATAAAGTCTTTGCCTATCATAAAACCTTTGCCTACACCCATGTCTTCAAGAGTTTTACATACTTTATCTTCCAGAAGATTAAATGTTCTTTTTTTTTTTTTTTTTTTTTGAGACAGAGTCTCACTATGCAGTTCAGGCTGCTCTTGAGCTCAATTTGTAGCCCAGGCTGGTCTCAAACTTGCAACGATCCTCCTGCCTCAGCCTCCTGAGTGCTGGGATAACAAGTGTGCACCACCATGGCTGGCTCCTGTTTTGATATTTATACGTTTGATCCATTTCAGTTTTAGTTTAGTGCCTGGCGGAAAATACAGGTCAAGGCTTTATCTTCAGCATGTGGAAAGCCAGTTTTCCCAGCAGCAGCTATTAAAGAGGCTATCTTTCTTCCAGTGAAGGTGTTTGGCCCCTTTGTCAAAGATTAGGTAGCTGAGTATGCTTGGAGTTGTTTCAACATCTTCTATTTTGCTGCTCCATTGTCTTTTCTTTTTTTTTTTTTTGCCAATATGATGCTGTTTTTATTACTGTAGCTTTGTAGTATAACTTCAAATTGGGGATTGTGATGCCCCTTGCCCAGCCATTGTTGCTTAGAATTGCTTTTATTATTCTGAGTCCATGTGTGTTTTAGTCTCATAAAACATCTGCCTCATGGGTGCGGTGGCACATGACTATAATGCTAGCACTGGGGAGGCTGAGGCAGGAGGATTGCCATGAGTCTGAGGTCAGTTTGGGCTACATAGTGATTTCAAGGCCAGCCTTAATTACATAGTGAGATCCTGTCTCAATACAAAACAAAACAACTCACATCCTCCTAAAAGCTAGATAAGATGGAATGGGGGTTCTGGTTGTGGAAAAGTTTCATTTGTGCCCTGCAGTATAGCAGTTTATAATCTAATTCAAAGGCAAATTATCTCTAAAGTAGCCATGGGAGGGGGGTGAAGGGGAAGAGGAAAGTTTTGGACACATCTTCATACACAGCGCCCTGCTGTCATAGTGGAGAAGTCCCTGGGGGTTGCCTTGACTCAGGGAGGTGCCCGCGACAGAGGCAGAAACGATGCTGAGCAGCTCCTCAGTGGGACCCAGGAGTTCTAAGGCAGTTGGTGAGCGACAGTTACAAATAAAGCAGTGGCAGACGAAACATGTACAGCATCGAGTGGCGAACGAGGCCGCGGAGATGCTGAAACTGTGCACTAAAGATGTCCCAGCACCCGCCTTCCAGGCTCCGCCTGACCGCTCGGCCCCCCTTTTCAGCGTGCTGGACAGCAAGCAGCCTCTGTGGAGTAGTGAGCTCGCGGGTGATCAGCTGTGGCAGCAGCTCTCTCAGCTGCAGGATAAGCTGGACACTGAACTGGAGGAGAAAAGAAAAATCTTGCTTCAGCTGTCCACAGAGAAAGGTAGGTGGGGCTGAAAGAGCCCTCGCAGACGGGGCAGCCTCCTTATCTGGCTGGTGAAGGGGCCTTGGGCTTTGCATCTCGCCACCCCCTCATTCTATCCCTTTGTGGTTATAGAAATTAGAATAAAGACACTGGAGATGTACAGTCCGGAAGGCATGACAGCTGCCTGCCTTGTGTGTGTCCTCTTTCTTACGTTATGTCTTGCTATGTTCATTATTTTCAAATATTCCTTTGTTCTTTGAAAGTATTAAAATTGAATTTTTCTATCTTTGGTGAGTTTCAGCAATAATTTCAGAGGTGAGTGGGCAAAAATGGGGTTTTGTTAGCATCTGACATCTGAAATTGAGAAGCAAATTATTACTCTTGGCTACCACTACCATTTCATCCCAATTTAACTCTTGGCTCACAGAA